AGTGCAAGTTACCGTCCACGTCCCCTAGCACCGGCTTAAGCAGAATTCAACATTTAACATGAAATAGTAAAATTTAGAATTTAGAAACATCCGCAGATGTGTTCATACGGCGTACTGATCATTCATGTAAAGTTTGGATGAAATTGCACCAGTAGTTTGTGAGGAGTAGTCCGACAAGTTTTGTGACGGACGGACGGACGGACGGACAGACGGACGTTCTCACAGGACAGTAATTATGTGGCTACTCTATTGTTCTCTCTATTGTTATTTTAAGCTACACAAAAGAAAATAGCCACATTAAAGCATTATGGAATGAATGACATCAAAGAACAGTTACCTATTGTCCCTCTAGCCACACAATTACTCTCCTGTGAGTGCGGACGGACAGACAGACAGACGGACAGACATACGATGGAGAAGTGATTCCTATATGTCGCCACTACTCCGTAGAGGCGACACAAAAAGCGTGTGCCCTAAACAGTAAAACAATGGGCGGAACTAAATAAAATGAAATTTTGAAAGGGGATCAGAGGTTATGAAGCCTGCGTATCACAGATAAGACGTCAAAAGACAAATTTAAAAAGCAGGCAACATATCCTAGGGGTGATTCAACATTATTTAAGTAGGAATATTGGAACGACACAACTAGAAAATACCGAAAAATTGAAAGCTAAAAATACCATAAGCACAACAATAATGTCGTGCTGAACGATCTTCAAGGATCGAAAATATAACATCATTGATTAAATGTACGGGGAGACTTTTACAGCCGCCACACGGCACAAATAAAACGGATGTGATCATAAAATAGATAAATACAGAATCTTAAAACCAAGCATTATGTAAAACATGCATTAGTATTTAACTGGAAACAAACATTAGTTCTCTAAAACCATGGCTGTGTGTAATTCATTTATTATTAATATATTAACTGGAAACAATGATTATTTCTCTAAAACCATGGTTGTGTGTAATTCATGTATTATTAGTATATTAACTGGAAACAATCATTATTTCTCTAAAACCATGGTTGTGTGTAATCCATGTATAATAAATATATAACTGGAAACAATCATTATTTCTCTAAAACTATGGTTGTGTGTAATTCATGTATTATTAGTATATTAACTGGAAACAATCATAATTTCTCTAAAACCATGGTTGTGTGTAATTCATGTATAAGTATATTAACTGGAAACAAACATTATTTCTCTAAAACCATGGCTGTGTGTAATTCATTTATTATTAATATATTAACTTGAAACAATCATTATTTCTCTAAAACCATGGTTGTGTGTAATTCATGTATTATTAGTATATTAACTGGAAACAATCATTATTTCTCTTAAACCATGGTTGCGTGTAATCCATGTTTAATTAGTATATAACTTGAAACAATAATTATTTCTCTAAAATCATGGTTGTGTGTAATTCATGTATTATTAGTATATTAACTAGAAACAATCATTATTTCTCTAAAACCATGGTTGCGTGTAATTCATGTATTATTAGTATATTAACTGGAAACAATCATAATTTCTCTAAAACCATGGTTGTGTGTATTTCATGTATTATTAGTATATTAACTGGAAACAATCATTATTTCTCTAAAACCATGGTTGTGTGTAATTCATGTATTATTAGTATATTAACTGGAAACAATCATTATTTCTCTAAAACCATGGTTGTATGTAATTCATGTATTATTAGTATATTAACTGGAAACAATCATTATTTCTCTAAAACCATTGTTGTGTGTAATTCATGTATTATTAGTATATTAACTGGAAACAATCATAATTTCTCTAAAACCATGGTTGTGTGTATTTCATGTATTATTAGTATATTAACTGGCAACAATCATTATTTCTCTTAAACCATGGTTGTGTGTAATTCATGCATTATTAGAATATTAACTGGAAACAATCATTATTTCTCTAAAACCATGGTTATGTGGATTGTGTTTGTTTGTTTGTTTTTGGATTTTACATCACATCAACACATTATAGGTCATATCACGATGTTCAAGCTTCACTGGTGGAGGAAGACCTTAGGTGCCCTTCTGTGCATTATTTAAGGCACGAACGGACACCTGAGTAGAACCACCTACGATCCATAAGTTGGCTGGATTGCTACCTCACATGAAAGAATCCAAAGTCCCTGTTGGGATTCGAACCCACAGCGGTGAGGGGCAAGTTGTTTGAAGTCAACGACCTTAATCACTCGGCCACGGACGCCCCATGTTGTGTGGAAATCATGTACCAGTATATCGACTGGAAACAAACATTCCTCTCTTAAAACCATGTTGTATTTAAAACATGTACAAATATATTACTGGGGAAAAAACATATAAAGTTCTCTTGTGGAATACATATACCTTTATCAACCAGAAACAAACAGTTATCTTAAAACCATAGCTGTGTGGAATGCATGTACCAGTATATCAACCAGAAACAAACAGTTATCTTAAAACCATAGCTGTGTGGAATGCATGTACCAGTATATCAACCAGAAACAAACAGTTATCTTAAAACCATAGCTGTGTGAAATGCATGTACCAGTATATCAACCAGAAACAAACAGTTCTCTAAACACCATGGTTGTGTGGAGTAGAAATACAAATATATTAACTGGAAACGAACATACTAAGTTCTCTAAAAACCATGTTGTATGCAAGGCATGTACCAGTATATAACTGGAAATAAACACTAGAAATGTTACGTTTACCTCATTTAGTTTGAATATCTGGGTTTCATGTTCTTCAGATTGTTTTTTAAGCTCCTCATATTCCACATTAGTTGGAGCATCTTCAATTGATTTTAGAACTTTTTTCATTTCTTCCTTGATTTGTCCCAGAATTTCATCAAAGTCTACAGTAGTTATAATGAAGTCTTTCTTCTTAAGCTAATGAAAACATAACAATTCTAAATATTTTCTTTCATAAAAATGTAGCTATGTGATTTATAATACTTACTATTCTATACAACAAATTATATATATGGTCAAACATTAATTTAAAATGATCTCAATTGATCATTTTTTAACTTATACATTTTCTGAGGATTTCTAAAATAGGTCTGTGGTAAAGTCATCTGATTGCCATACTTTTTTATCAATGTAAATGAATTTTAGGAAATTTTTATTCAACTTTGAAAAAAATGAAACCATTTTGAGAATTTTTTCTCGATTACCCTAAAATTTATCTTGAATTTAGGCCATCCTTAAAAAAATGTTTGTTTGCAGTAACCCGAACATTTTTACAAGAAAACTGTGGGTCAAAGGAATCTTAAAGTTTTATCTAGTCAATGCCCCTGTGACCTTGACCTTTGACCCAGTGACCTCAAAATCAATAGGGTTATCTCATAATCATGACTAACCTCCATGCCAAATATGAAGACTGTGGGTCAAAGGAATCTTAAGTTATTTGGCGGACAGGCTTTTTCCTGTCAAGACCCCTGTGACCTTGACCTTTGAACCAGTGACCTCAAAATCAAATGGTGTCATCAAATCATCATGACTAACCTCCATGCCAAATATGAAGACTCTGGGTCAAAGGAATCGTAAGTTATTTGATGGACAAGCTTTTTCAATCAAGGCCCCTGTGACCTTGGCCTTTGTAAGTTGGATCGCTCTACATGCTTTTAACAGCATAACATTTATCTGTATATTATATTTTGTTTATTTTTTTCTTTCATGTAATGGAATTAATTCCAATTTATCTTGTGTGTCTTTTTGTGTAAATGTATTCAATAAGTGATAAATTTTCCACCAAGGCCAGTTAAATTTTTATCAATCATTGTAACAACAGACAATGGACATCATGAACTCACAAAGCTTGCTAACTTTATTGACAAGCTAATAATACTGGTCTGTCATACAAACATAAGTTCTCTTAAAACCATGGTTGTATGTAAAACATGTACCAGTATATTAACTGGAAACAAACATTAGTTCTCTAAAACCATGGTTGTGTGGAAATCATGTACCAGTATATCAACTGGAAACCAACAGTCCTCTCTTAAAACCATGTTGCATTTAAAACATGTACAAATATATTACCAGGAAAAAAACATATACCTCTAACAACCAGAAACAAACAGTTCTCTTAAAACCATGGCTGCGTGGACTACATTTACCTGTATCAACCAGAAACAAAGTTCTCTTTAAACCATGGCTGTGTGGAATACATATACCTGTATCAACCAGAAACAAACAGTCCTTTTAAAACCATGGTTGTGTGGAATACATATACAAGTATCAACCAGAAACAAACAGTTCTCTTAAAACCATGGTTTGTGGAATACATGTACCAGTATCAACCAGAAAAAAACAATTCTCTTAAAACCATGGCTGTGTGGAAAACATGTACCAGTATCAACCAGAAACAAACAGTTCTCTTAAAACCATTGTTTGTGGAATACATGTACAAGTATCAACCAGAAACAAACAGTTCTATTAAAACCATGGCTGTGTGGAATACATGTACCAGTATCAACCAAAAACAAACAGTTCTCTTAAAACCATGGTTGTGTGGAATACATAAACCTGTATCAACCAGAAACAAACAGTTCTCTTAAAACCATGGCTGTGTGGAATACATGTACCTGTATCAACCAGAAACAAACAGTTCTCTTAAAACCATGGCTGTATGGAATACATTTACCTGTATAAACCAGAACAAAGTTCTCTTAAAACCATGGCTGTATGGAATACATTTACCTGTATAAACCAGAACAAAGTTCTCTTAAAACCATGTTGTATAAAATACATGTACCTGTATAAACAAGAAACAAACAGTTCTCTTAAAACCATGGCTTTGTGGAATACATGTACAAGTATCAACCAGAAATAAACAGTTCTCTTAAAACCATGGTTGTGTGGAATAGAAGTACAAATATTTTTACCGGAAACAACGATACTAAGTTCTCTAAAAACCATGTTGTATGCAAGGCATGCACCAGTATATAACTGGAAATAAACACTAGAAATGTTACGTTTACCTCATTTAGTTTGAATATCTGGGTTTCATGTTCTTCAGATTGTTTTTTAAGCTCCTCATATTCCTCATAAGTTGGAGCATCTTCAATTGATTTTAGAACTTTTTTCATTTCTTCCTTGATTTGTCCCAGAATTTCATCAAAGTCTACAGTAGTTATAATGAAGTCTTTCTTCTTAAGCTAATGAAAACATAACAATTCTTTTATATTTTCTTTCATAAAAATGTAGTTATGTGATTTATAATACTTACTATTCTATACAACAAATTTTATATATGGTCAAAACATTAATTTAAAATGATCTCAATTGATCTTTTTTTAACTTATACATTTTCTGAGGATTTCTAAAATAGGTCTGTGGTAAAGTCATCTGATTGACATACTTTTTTATCAATGTAAATGAATTTTAGGAAATTTTTATTCAACTTTGAAAAAAATGAAACCATTTTGAGAATTTTTTCTCGATTACCCTAAAATTTATCTTGAATTTAGGCCATCCTTAAAAAAATGTTTGTTTGCAGTAACCCGACCCAGAATTTTCAAGTGGGGTAGGTAGGTCGATTTTTTTTTTGATTTTTTTTTTGAACTGTACTCCCAAATAGACATGAAATTTCAAAATGCTTGACAATATTTGCTTTGATAATCTTGTAAAAATTAATAAATTGATAACTGAATTCTAATTTAATAAGAACTACATTTTATTTCTTCTATTAACCTTTAAAAGAACGAAAACGAAGCACAAGGCATAATTTTCTGATTCAAAAAAAAAAAAATTATTCAGACCATGAAAAAAAAATTGAGTAGGGGCAAATTTTGTGAGTCGGTCGCATTACTGCAAACAAACTTTTTTTTTAAGGATAGCCTTAAAGATGTTCTTAATATAAACTAGACCTATCACTGAAGGTGATTAATACCCCCACCAGCAACTTTGACTTTTTGAAAAATAAGTAGTCTGAAGAAAAATTTGAACACAAACTATCAACTGTGAACAAAGAAATATTTCAATTAATTGTAATCCCAACTGGGGTCTCTAAATAAGCTTGCTTTTCACAAAGTTTGAATACAATATCTCATTTCTAACTATAGTTATTGTCCGGAAACCATTTTTCTATTTTTAGTAACACTGTAACGGTGACCTTGACCCTAGGGGGTCCAAATGCAATACCAAGCCAGGATTTCATATAAGCTTGCTATACACCAAGTTTGATTACAATACCTCATTCCTAACTCAAGTTATTGTCAGAGAACCATTTTTCTATTTTTAGTAACAGTGACCTTGACCCCAGTGGGCCCAAATGTAATACCAACCCAGGTCTTCATATAAGCTTGCTATACGCCAAGTTTGATAACAATATCTCATTCCTAACTCTAGTTATTGTCTGGAGATTTTTTCTATTTTTAGTAACAGTGACCTTGACCTTGACCCCAGGGGGTCCAAATGCAATACCAACCCAGGTCTTTATATAAGCTTGCTATACACCAAGTTTGATAACAATATCTCATTCCTAACTGTAGTTATTGTCCGGAAACCATTAAATAACGGTGACCTTGACCCCAGGGGGTCCAAATGCAATACCAAGCCAGGTCTTCATATAAGCTTGCTATACACCAAGTTT